CCGCTCGACCAAACATCGAGTGGGGGAATCTCTGTTAAATTGTAAATTTTATCATTGAGTTCATAAGGAAATGATATTTTTACCCTCCGGGGTAATATATCATAATTCTTATGTCATGCTCGATAATAAAGTATGCAATCCGTTTGAGGATACAAAAATTCTCCAACATATTTTATGGCGACACCTCACCCGATTTATAAACTTTTTATTAATGCTTACCTGAATCATAAATTAAAGCCCCGAACAAATCATGCCTTCATGCACCCCCAAGCTGCAACAACTTCCTCTCAACCATCTCAACCTCCAGCCCACCACCTTTGTCGTGGCAACTACTATCATAGCCACCACCAAGAATCACTTGAAAGCCACACACCATCACCTCTTCCTCTAAAAATTTTGGAGTATTATTTTAATCTTTATGTTGATGAAAAATATTTATGAAAGAGGAAATTAACCGAAATAAATGAAGAAGAAACAGATAGAGATGCATTGAGCTCCACAGGATGAAGTAGAGGAGAGACCAATTTGTTATGATGATGACTCAAATAAAGACCCCCTCAGTGATGGCAGTGTAGATGATTTATGAGTTGTTGTCAATTATGTCAATTTTTTTAAAAAATTAAATGTGGATGAGTAGCGAATTGAGAAAGAAAGAATTTGGAGTTGAACTTGATTTTATAGGATACTTTTACCTAATTCCTATATTTCATGTTGTTTTAGTCTTATAATATTTGGATTTGAATTATATTGCACGCAATTAATCACTTGTCACTTTACATCTTGTGCAACTTTTTGTTTCATATATATGTTAATTTGTTACTTCATAGTTCAACAAGAAATATAATACGTAATTATTTAACAAACTATTTAGGTATTATACAAAAAATCATTTTTAACCTTTATTTTCACTTTAAGCAATTTGGATTTAAAAGCTTACGCCTCCAAACGCCTTGAGGCATATGCCTCTCCTCACAAAAGAAAAACGACTCAATACTCAATTGCGCAATTTTAAACCTTGATAAAGATTAGAATTAACTTGGTTTTGTCCAATATATATCAAACCAAGCCATTTGACATTAATCAACCTATGTCAGTCCCAAATTAGCACAAATCAAGCCATTTTGACGTGAATTTACTGGATTTATTGCTTGATCAAGCAAAGTGAAACATACTAACCCGAAAGAAACATATTCAGACTTGATTTAATACATCAACAAACTAGCCAAGTTCAGTTCAAGAACAAACTTAAATGAATCTGGTTGATCATTTTTACTGAGTTAATCACATGTGAAAAAAAGTGAAGACAATGAACCTGGAAGCCCCTAAACCATAACAACTTTTTCTCGGTTCAACCAAATTATATAATTGATATATCAAACCTAATTCGGTCTCAAATGAAACCAGACAATTATGATAATCCAAATTGCCCGATTATGCCAAATTTAACAAAATTGACACGATCAAAACTGTCCTGGTTTATCCATATCAAGCAAGTTCAACTATCTTAAAGATTTGATGTCAACTCAAACCAAGTACAAACAATTTGAGCCCAGCCTAACTTACTGTGATCAAAACTAATTTAATTAAGTCCCAATATAGTCTAAATACACCAAGGAAAACAAAGTTTGGCCAATAAAGATTTAACCTATTGAAAAACAGACGCTTTCAAATGACTTTGTCCGTGTTAAACATGGACACAGACCCGACACATCCCAACCTTGTCTAACAAATCAAAAATGGTGCCAAAGTATACTTGAAGTGAAATTAGACTACGACACTTATTGTGATGCTGGCAAAAAATATAGGGGTGCCTATACCCTTCGCCCACAAATAAGAAAACCGAGCGACCCACTAAGATCCACGAAAGACGAAGCGACTAAGGATGAGGAAGGGAAAAACAAACTCTTACATTTTAAATAAAATGTAAAAAACTGGAAATCAAAAGACTTACAACAATGACTCTTGCAAAATTTAGCCGACTTAAAAACTTTGACTCATTCACTTGACAACACCCTAAAGTTGCTTCACTTAGAGACGAAGGATACAGGTGGAGTAGCACTTGCGGAGAGACGAAAGAGATTAGAAGCCCGAGAAGAAAGGTTGGACAGAGCCTGCAGGATTTCCGAGGGATGAGAAACAAAGGGTGGAAAGAGCCCGCATGATTTCCAAAGCAAACCCGCAGGTTTACATTTCCAAAAATAACATATCATTCACCTTTTTTAAACATTACAAATCCTCCCATATTTATAGGTATGAAAGAGGAATACCAAGAGACACCTAATAAATTCCCATAGGAATTCTAAACATCACATAGCATTAAAATACCTAAAAACATCTCAAGCCAAGGAACCAAAGAGGCATCCACGGGAACCAAGGAGACTGCCCGGCACCAAGGGGCACGGTCACGGGAAAGAGCCCAGGCACGGGAAAACCAGTAGCCGGCCGGAATCCAAGGGGGCAAATGCACAAAATACTAAAGGCCATGGAGGAAGCTAAAGAGCCACCTCATGGGAAAAGACATTTCTTGGAATTCCAAAGGCCGGTTTGGAATTCCAATAGACAACAATAATTAAAAACATAAAAAGTATAAAAATACATTTAATAAAAAGATAACTATGAGCTAAAATCATAGCTAATAATGAGCTAACCCTTAGTTCAATTAGTGAACTAAAGACCAGCTCATAAATGAGCTAAAATTTCAGCTCAATTTTGATTGAGCTAGTAGACTCAAGAGAAGCCAAAAATCTAATTATTTTTTACATGAGTTGACCACCCCTTTGTCTACATCATAATGGACACAGCAAGACACAAGTAAGCCATGAGCAAAGACCCGCTGAACTCAAAACAACAAAAATTAAAGCCAAAACATACAAGAAAATAATGCCCATAGTATTGCACAACTAGTTTCCCTAGCTGCTGCAATCTGATCACATCTACACCTCTTCTTGCATCTTCACATCTGCAATCAAACGAAGCCGTCTTCATCACCACCTCTTCGTTAGTCGTCTTGCAAATCCACCACTTCTTCTTTGATACCGAAGACAATCATGCAAAGAAGAAGCTGAGTCATGCCCTTCAAAGCCATTCCATGAAAGATGTAGACAAAGGCATCTAGGTAACCTAAGTTGTGTCATACCGTTTAAAGTTAATAATCCATTTCAGTCGTCGTCTTATTTTCGTGACCTTCAAGTTCATCTTCAAACTCGAGTATGAACCCTAACCAGCTATATCAACTGCTGTTTAAATTAATTCATCATCATTCCATCCCTTTCTTAGCATTATAATGATGGAGTTAATGTTATTAAAAATAATAAATGAAAAAGTTAAAATCAATGTTCCAAACAGCACCGCCTTCTACTTGATTTGTTGTGCGGCATTATCTTGCTTTCAAATATCATTTGGATAAGACCACAGTGCCACCAATATTATTTTGGCTCCATGTATTTTTCTTTTAATTTTTTTATAAGAAATTTTGATTATATGAAAAATATATTAAAAATCTATTATTATATATGTACATATTTTTAATGACTACATGAATATATAGGCTTTATATAGTTATATAGTCATTTATAAACTTAAATTATTAAATACCTGGCAATTTCTATCGTAAAAGTAGAATTCACTACAATCTTGCAATGTCTTTAGTAGAGATCAGTATAAATAATATATTTCATATTACTAATTTATGAAATATAATGTGTTTATGATTTGTCTTATCACATATTTTGTAGTTATGTAATATTATTGTCTCTGTATCGAGCTGTTTGCATGTCCCCGTGTCTGTGTCCTTGCTTCATAGAATTTAACTAAAGAAGCACAAAATGTCTATTAACATCAACACCAAGATCGCATTAAAATTAATGCTAAATCAAACAATTCCTCTAGAAATGTGCCAAAGCATAGAACTGCTCTGAAATGGATGCTAAGGTAGAAGTGTAGAACCAAGGACAATAGCCCAAACAACAATAACTGATTACGACCTCTTCAAAACAAAATTAAAATTATCTAGAATAAGCAAAGTTTGACTGGAGTTACAACAATTCATAGGCTCCAAAATGGACTAAGGCCTAGTCAAATTATTTTCTTTTGGCCAATATTTACAAGACAATACCTTCCAAGCATTGATTCAAAGATCACCGACTACTAAAAATTTTAAAACTTAAATCAAATATAGTTCTAAATTTTGCCCAAAGTCATGAAGAATACTGATGCTCCAACTAAAACAATTAAAAACTCAAACCAGCCTAAATAGCATCACAGTGGGAAGCACCTTGGATGAGGAATTCTATGGCCGCTAACAAGAAAAGATTCCAGCCACAACCAAGGATCACCAATACCAAAGGTATATCATCTTCAATAGACCTTGGCACACAAAATTATGGAGATTTGACAGAGTTAGTTGTATTATCTCTAATGAACTTGACCGAGAACAACAAGGAAATTTAGATAAAGTAGGTTTCCCTATTGAAAAACAAAGTTAAATTAGGCTAGTAAATTTTACTAAACACAATGGGAGCTAAATTATAATTATGACTGGTCAACTAGCAATAGATGCTCGTAGCTTAAGGGAAAAGAAGAATTCAAGTTATATAACCCATAGGGTGAAAACTGAATGAAAAGTCTTTTATTTCGTATTTAACCAACATTAACTAACTGAAAAAATAGTTACCGTTGAATAAATCATGCAAATAAGCATTGTTAAATCCTTGTTTATTCTACACAGCGCCTACTTATATCAAAGCATTTTACACTTCCAAAGACCTATTATATTGATCTTGCTAATCTCTTTTATTGAACTTCATTCATGCAGGTTTTACTACTCAACTTATGATGTATTCATGCTATTTTTAAGATTTAACTCTTGTGATTTGATTTATTTATGCATGCAATCTATATATGATTGTTCAGCATTACTTTGGAATGAATCATTGGACATTGAAAGTATGCTACCAGATAAAGAACCATAAGAATGATGCAATAGCAAAATGAAAACAGACCTCCTCACCAGATACATATACAACACGAGCAGGACCCCTGGAATTACATCCTTCAGAAATAATGGCTGCGAGCTGCATAACCAGACAAAAATGTAATTTTGAGCTAGTGTTAGATAGTTTAGAATAAGCATGTGGATCTTTACGGGTATCTAAATGAGAAAGACAACAAAAGCACTGCAGATCCAGAACTTTAGCAAACTTAAACAATCAAAAGACAAAATTAGGACAGCATTCATAATAAGTACCTGTAGTAAAAGTGTACTTTTGCCAACACCAGGATCACCACCAAATAGAACTAAGGAGCCTACAATATTGACGTAAAATATTCATATAAAGCAAGAAATACATTAGCAAACCATTATATGGTCATTAGTAATAAAGAGTGTTGATCATCAACTACATAAGAACAACTACTAGGCAACAAACTCGTAAAATCAAATGTGGTAAAAGAGTTGTTTTAAATCCCAACAAACAGAAAAAGTTTATTTGAACCAAAATGACTGCATTCACCATTCAAAATTGTTTTCTGTGAGCTCTAAAACATAATTTCAACGTGTAACAATGAGAACGGAATTTCGGATATTCACATCATAATTACTTTCATTATGTAGCCTACAAGCAACATAAATGTTGTTGTACAGTATAACATGGATGGCATATGCTTTCCATTAAGATGGTAACTCATCTTGAATACAAAGTTAAACTCTTTCTAAAGCAAAATTCTAAGTTTTAAATTCTTATCTTATTTGGATAGTTCTCAAGATTGTATAGCCAATAAAGAGTTTGTTACTGTTGTCTCAAGAAAAATGGCATGAATGCATGAATCCCGCTTTGCAACTATGGGATTCCATCATCCTTGGGTCAAATTATAGTTAACCAGATTTTCCTTTGTTAGATCTGGGTCATTGCTTCCCAAGAGCGCAAGCACTCATAATTAATTACCTCTCTTAACACGTAAGAGATAACTTTCGATTAAGGATGAATAAATTTTAAATGTTTAGGTCTCAATTGTGAGAAAAAATGGAGGTAAACCCGATCAAGATCCCATGGTTATGTTGTCCCGAGTATACCGTAAGTTTCAGTCTACCAACAATAACAAACATTGATCGTAATGTCCATGGAATCTGACTAACATTCATGGGTTACCACCTCTCAAGAATCCCAAATAGACTGAGGTGATTAAATGTGAGTTTTAATTTTATTGGTTTTTGGGTTTTACATCTATTAGAATACCTGGTAGTTGGTTTGGTTTGGGATTTATGACTTCATTTAGAAGTTACCCAGAAATTTGAATTGAAGCGGATCTTACGGCTTCTTTTAGAACAAGTACAAAAAATAATAATAAAACTTAAACATAACATTTAAACCTCGATTCACACCATTATGCTCTTCGACTTTGTCTGCTACACGAAACATAGAGTTTTGAATGATTCTCTAAGAGCTTCTTCACCTTCGTCAATGGCGTTACTTCTTTGATCGGAAGTCAAAACATTGCGACGATGTTCCTTGTCGGATTGAAAGTCATGTAAGTTCGAAGATGCCCTTCCTGTTGGATCGGAAGTGAGGACACGTAGAGTTGCGATTCGTTAAAAGCTTCTTCGCCCTCGTCAACGATGTTCCCTGTTTGATCGAAAGTCATAACTGATGCAATCAAAAATTTGGGGAGGGACCCAAATTTTTTATCACAAAAACAAGACCTTTCTAAGAAATAGAAAATGACATGAACTCATAAAAACTAGACAAATTAATCAAAAAACAAAACACAACTTTAATATTATAAAAGGACTTACAAACAAAAACTCTTACAAACGACGCTTACAACTTGGACGCTTACAAACTTTGACACAAACATGAAATAAACATCAATCCTAAAACTGCATTTTCTTGATAAGAATGATACAATGGAGTGGATACTTGCGGAGAGACGAAAGAGATTAGAAGCCAAGACGAAGGTTGGAAAGAGCTCGCAAGATTTTCATACAAGTAGAAGAAGAAGAAGTGGAACAAAGCTCTCAAGCTTTTTCCAAGAAAAACCTCTCAGGTTTTGTCCCAAAAATTATCATCATACACACTTTTAAAACATACAATCAGCCCCTATATATAGGCAATAAAGGGGATCTAAACAGCCATTATAACTACTAATTAATTTAATTAAAGGGGGGAATTGAAAGGACAAAATTTCAGTTCAGATTTCTGTACAGAAATCTGTTCATAAATCTGTCCCAAAACAGCCCCAAAAACCCTTCAAATACTCAAATAAATGAGGGTAATGAAAGACCAACAGCCACCATATATAAATCCCAAACGACACAACAAAAAACAGAGAATCTGGCCACGGTTCCAAGCAGGGAAGTCACAGATCCCAGCAGCCAAGCACAGGGACCAAACAGCCACATTAATTTCGGTAAAAAGGAAAACCACGGGACATTAAATCAGGAGCAAACCAAAGGGTCAAAGCCATCAGGAATCGTAGCAATCCAAGAGGCAACATGAAGAGGAAAAGGCAAGTAAATGAGAAGAGAAAGGGGGGGAAGGAGAAAAGCCAAGTTTAAGAATTAATGAGCTAATTTTTAGTTCAATAAATGAACTAAAAATCAGCTCATAATGAGCTAACCTTCCACTTGACATTAATGAGCTAGAGAAGTCAAAAATCAAATATTATGATTTGATTTGACCACCCCCCCTGCCTACATCAATAACAGTATGATGATGCTCTATTGTTGGATCGAAAGTCACATAAGGTTCAACGACACCTTTTCTATTGGATCAAAAGTCATGAAAGGTACTCCTATTTTATTAAATGGTTTATTGACTTTTATTATTATCACAAATAGCAAAACCAACAAGTATAGATGTTTATTATCATCACAAGCAGCTAAACCAACAAGGATAGATGTTTATTAAATAACAACAAAAAATTATGAAAAATTATGTATTAAATTACATGGTATAGATGTTTATTTAAAAAAGACTTAATGACCAAAAAAATGAATGCATCCTAGTAACAAAACATAATGAAAGAAACATCAAACATCACAAAGTATTAATATCATTTCTCCCTTTTTATATAAAACTAATCTCCAATCAAATCTAATAACTTACAAATTTATCTCGAGTTGATTTGATTTTTCCAATTGAATAATCACACTTCACCTAGTTCATTACTCTGATGATGATCGGTGATGCATGCATGCATTAATTGTTAAAAAGCTTCAATGTTTTATATTCATATATATGATAATTTGTTTATTTTGTCAACTTTTAATATATTATTAAGTTATTATACAAAATTCCCCATTTTGATTTTATGCAATTTCTAATTTTAAGGTTTATGCCTCGCCTCACTAACGAAAAACACCTCAATACCTAATTACGCAATTTTAAACAATGCAACTATGTCTGGGGTATCTTATCACTATCCTCCCTCAAAATAGACAAAAGATAGGAAATTTCTATCATTAACATCATCCTAAATAAAGCCATCAAAAACAGCTAAAGCTGCACAAAAATCAAAAGCCCTATTACTCAGATTAGGAATGTAATGGAATAAATTCAGCTTAAAGTTACTCAAAAAGAAAGGTCCAACTCTAACCGATCCATGTCCCCCAAATATTAGCCTTCCATAGACTTTTGAAGCCACCTGATCACATTGATGTTGTCACCATCAATGATAATCCCTCCCTTCTCATACATCCAACCCTCCACATGGTTGTTAAGCATCAAGACTGCCTTAGGAGATGCTTCAAAACCGCAAGAAGCAGCTTCCCCTCGTGATCCCTGAACACCGCACTGAGCCTAGCCTGATTAGAAAGAAACAGAGCAGCATCCAAGTTGACCGCATGATTCAATCTGGAGAGGGGGGGAGGTGGTTCAAAGTTTATAGGAAGCTACCTCGGTGGGGCTGGTTGGCATCCCAATGCTCCAGAAGAGGATGAAGAAGGGGGCAGATAGAGCTACCCAACACCGTCAAGGAAATAACTACCAGAGATCCATAAGAGTTGTCGCGCTTGAACACATTCCTAGCTCTCCACATCTAATAGACCAGACTACAATAGATTTTGCCCATGGTCAGATTATGACATGAAGATTTCTCAAGCTACCACAGCAGCTCAGCCTAGGAGCTAGATTTGGGAATAGGCACGCCCCATTCATTTAGTTTGTCAATAGCAGCATGGAATTAGTGCAGAAGACTGCCGCATGCTCCACATCCTCAACTGCCTGGCAACACCAGGGGCAAGAATGCACATCCGCAGGCCCCCGAGCCTTCAACCAATCCTGGGTTGGGATAGTGTTCTTAAGCAGGTGCCACCATAATAATTTCTCTCTCAGGTGCAGGAGAAGTTTATGGAGTCATCTTTATTGATTATTCATACATCGACTGGTTCTCAACTGCCTGGCAACACTTAGTTACTTTGTGAAACGCTTGCAATAAGCAACTCGCTCTCACTCACTTTCTTTCAAATGGGATACCAGGATTCAATGGTGGAGATCAGAAATGTTGCCAATATGAGGCCAACGTAAGTTGCATCAAATGCTAGAACTAAAAGTCAGCTAGTCGGGCAAAAGCAATATAGCTTGACAATATAAATAGCATTTTTTAAATATGAATTCACCAATATTGATCAGAAACTTAAGTTTCAAATCTATTTCAAGTGATACTTAAACTATTGTGAAAGCAATTCAAAACATTTTATGAAATGAATAAATTAATTTTCAAAATACATGTATAACAGCATGTGTAGATTATATTATAAAGCAACTTCAGAATGAAATTTAACATAATTTTACCAATAGATTTATGTATAATATTTATTTATTTTTATGAAGAAAGTCCTGGTTGATCAAGGGTTGAATTGAAATCCAATTCCTTAGTCATAACATAAGCATGACATGTTGGCAATGTGTTTTATGATAAAAAATTGTCCTAGGCAAAAGATGAATTGAAATCAAGACTCAAGCCTAGAATTCTAGTTAAGATTTAAACCTAGATGATTTCTCAACTAAATTTCAAAGAATAGAGGGGCTGGCCTCAATGATATGCAACATCGTGTCAGCAATCTCATTAATACATGGTTTCAAACACCATAATACTTGGCTTCACCATACAACTATTATCTTCATAAGTAATAGTTTCGCACTTCTTCGCCAGTCTTTTCCTAGAAAGGAGAGAACGACTATTGTGATATATGGCTTCTGCAAACTTCTCTCTCTCTCAAGCTAATCTTGATCAAGAGCTAGAAATCAAAGTTCCATCGATACGGGTGGTATAAAAATCTAGCATGTAAAGGCATACAAACCACAAGC